GCGGGGAAGGAGGCAGCCAAGGAATGGTTCCTGGAGGGGGATATCTGCTCAGGGTTTCTTTAATGTGTACCATGCATGGGCAAGAAGAAAAGCCGGGTCTCGGCCTTCCAAAGACCTATTATCTAGCTGGGGAGACAATACCCAGACACAAATCACACTACCAGGCAGAAGTACCGAGGTGCTATTTGTCTGCTTGAGATGCAGCAGGTTCACCATCGGGTCCCCCGCACTTGCTACATCGGGGGTGCTTGAGAAGTGCTGTGAAGGCAGGCAGGCAGGTTTTATACGGCAGCAATGGTGCCGTTATTTTTGTTTTATTTTTTTTCAAAAGCCTTGCCTTTGAATCAGAGGACCCCAGGCCTGGCCCTGCCACTAATTAGTTATGGGAAAGTCACTTAATATCCTTGATCCCCTGTTGCCTTAGCTGCAACAGTCAACCTCTCAGAATCACCACCAGGTGCAAATAAGGGAATGTGTACGGGTACTCTGTTAACTGTATGACACTACAGAAATGACAAGGATTCTCACCGATGACACACACAATGTCCCTTAACTGGACCTCCAGAAAAGCCTATGGAGTCGGGAAACTACTGCCACCAACTTACAGAAAAGGAAGGTACTCTTCTTTTCCAAGGGGGTCTGACAACGAGAAAGCACAACAGTTAGGAGTACTACTACAAAAGTCACATTCGGTAGGATCTGAGAGGAAAAGTAGAATTTATATGGCCAGAGGGAGAAGGGGATTCACCCGTGACTCATTCACACATCAGGTCCCAGATACTAAGAATCTACATAAACCACTTTCAGGGTCTGCCCAAGGCATGCACTGAGCCCACGTTTATTTAAAAAGAATACTGAGCATTTTTTTCCATATTAAAATCTTCGCCCCTAATACGCTTCATAGTGCAAGTTCAAGGCAAACCTAGGGGAGGCTAGGTAGGGGGTGATACTTGACCGCTTTTGCTCCTAATCTCACTGCTGCTAGAATCATTAAACCTTTACAAGGCAGGGATAGGAACCGCTGCTTTGTGGATTTGGAAGGAATTCCTATTATGCTATAATTCAAGAATCCGAGATACATCTGAAAAAGAAGTCAAAGCGACTAGATTTTTCCATATCTCCTGCCATCGAAAGGTGTCTGCTTTCTCTATAACTTCTGATGATTTGCCTAAGTCGCATTCGAAACTGTACCACCATTCGACTCTTTAGTTGTGGGGACACTCAAACTGGAGCAGCGGCAACCAAGTCAGCCAAGGATTCTCTTGTTGTTTTAAACAAACCTGAGGTCAGCAGGAGAAGGCGCGGGCAGCAAACAGCAGGATGATTAGATTTCCAGACTCCGTTCCCTCGCCTCCCCCTGTACCCCCTCCCTGACTGTCATTCACACCCTCTGATCAGAAGCAGATCCTGGATGGAGCCAACCAGGCTCTGTGACCAGTCATGATGGGAAAATGGGAAATGGGTTGTTGTTGTTTAATTTCAGCTTGTATATAGCTTTTCCAGAATCGAGTATACTGAAGTGAATTACTCATTTTTCCTCTGAGGTCTTGCTTCTGCTTATTTCCGTGAGTACTCTCGTCCTTAATGGCAGGTAAGTGGGTAAGCAGACCTCGTTATGAGCCCCCATCCCCCATCTCACACATGCCCCCAGCTGGATTCAGAGGTAGAGGTCTTTTTGCAAAGAGCACTGGATGAAGAGTCAAGAGATCTGGGTTTTAGTGAATTACCTACGAGGAAAGAGCAGGAGACAGATGGGTCCCCAGGCTGGCGTTCCTGATTCTACTCTGATTAGGCATGAGGTCTTTGCAGAGTCACTTCACCGCTTTTTGACTGTTTACTCATTTATAACGGAAACAGTTAACACTCACCGAGCATGCTCCAGGTGCCAAGCACTGAGTGCCCTTCCATACGCCATCGCATGTAATTCTGAAAACCTTAGTAAGTAGACGTATTATCTCCATTTAACAAATGAGCCTACTGGGGCTCAGCGGGGTTAATTAACTTGCTACACACTGCACAGCAGGAGTTGAGATAGGCACCAGAGCACATGCCTGTGACTCCAGACTAAATGGAGACCTATAAGGTTGCCTAGCTGTCGGGATTTCCACACAGGGGAAATGCTTGAACCCAGTTCATAGGTTTCTATGGCACGTAGTTGCACTTAACAAACGATACTAATTATTATCTTGTTTGCCTGTTTTGTTTCAGGGTTCTTTGTGGGGCGGGGTGGAGAACTATAGGGAAGCACCATCCAAACCTATTTTGCTGACATTGTACAGGATGTGGAAGTAATGCTATTGCTCTTCCAATAACCAAGGCCACAGCACATGACTGACCGTTTCAAGGAAACCTGGGAGGTCAGGGAGGATTTTAATTAAAACACCAACATGACATGAGGAGAAGAGCAAGCCAAACTAAACTCCTAAAAGCAGACTTTTTTCAGAAATGCTAGTATTTCAAGAGGAAGAAGGGGCTGGTCTTGGCCAACGGCAGGGAAAAGAGCTGCTGACCAGGAGTTTTGCTTGAGGAAGGAAGAACAGATGAGAAGCACAGCCTTCAGAGAAGCCTTGTTAGCACCCTGTGTCCATCTGCTACAAAGTCCGTTCCCACAAATAATGACATCTGAGTCTTAGAGCAAAGGCCACGAGCGAATCTGACCACAGGTAAGGAAAACGAGGACTGATTCTCATAGCTGGGGGTGCCATGGCCTCTGAAGAGCGCCTCTCTCCACCGCGCTGGGTCTGGGATCAGCCCCACTGGGGCAAGCCAAAGCTAAAAACAATTGCATATAGAAAGAGCAAAGGGCATGTGACACTGTCCCTGTCCTATTCTTATTTTAACCACTCCTAGGTTATAGTCAGCTTCCTAAAAGCACTCAATTAACTGATGTTCCCAAGTGTCAAAAACACCTGTTCAAACCTCAGTGCACGATACTGTACAATCACGTGCCTTCTATTACAAACTTCTTTTCCAGGAAAAGCCATTCTTCTTACAGGACTCAACCCCACACTGTCCCTTTGGAGCAAACGGTAAAATTAGATTCTGTATCTCTCAGTTTCTGAACACAAAGATCCTCAGTCCACCTTTAAGAAACTACGAGTGTTGTCAAATGAACTGTTTTTATTTTAAAGGCTGGAAAGAATTCTACCAGCCCCCACTCCCCCTCCCCAATTTCAAACTGTTGATTGTGTGCCTGGTTTACGATGTTATTAAAAAACAAAGAGGAGTCTCAAAGTTTACAACCATCCCCAGAGTGGGGAAGTCAAAAGGAAAACTTCATGAAATGTGGCTCAGTACCATCAGCAGCTAGCATCTGATCCAGAGTAGGCATGAGTAGACAAATGCCGATCCCTCAAGCAACTAATTTGGGGAGGACAGCTACTCAGCATTTGCAATCAAGCCTGGAAAAATGGGAAGAGGGTTTTGAAATAAGCCAGGAATAGGCTCGAGCCCCAATTTCTACTTGCTGTAGACTTTGAACATATCATTTAACCCCTTTGAGCTTCTGATTTTCCATTCGTATCATGGGAACACTGGCACTCAATTCACATGTAGTGTTCTTAACTCGAGCTTCCTTCCTTCTCGGCTTCGCCTACAGGCCAAAGATAAGCTTCCAGGCTCTGGCTAATATAAACATGACTCAAGGATCTGAGAGAGACAATTTATGATCTCGGTGGACATGATGCCTATCCCTATGCCTACATGGCTGGGGTTCAAGGGCAAAGAACAAACAGACAATATTGGAGGTATGGAATGGTCATCTGTGAAAATTATGCCTCACAGATTACAAGAGTGGATTACCATCAATTACTCTCCTGAATGCCATAAATGGACACAAATGGACACCTCTAAAACAAGAAGGTAACCTCCTAAGTAAAGCCCAAGCAGGCCATGCCCCAATTTCCACGAGGCTAACATTGCTCCAAAGAATTCTGGACTTTGTCAAAGTCCATGGCACATCTGTGCCTCCCCAGTGAGGACTTCATCCTTTAAGGAAAGATCTGCACGTAAGTCTAGACTTTACACTTTCGCCTGAGTAACCCACTCAGATATGTGGAAAGTATTTTGCAAAGTATTTCAAAACTCATGCTCTCTTTTACTCCTCAGTACAACACTAGGAAGCAAGGGGGTCATCCCTGGCTTTAAGCATGTACAGCTTGTCAGTGGAGTGCCAGGTCTAGAACCTCGGTCTCTCGATGCCAAGTCCCAATTTTGTTTTTGCTTTGCCACAACAGCCCCTGGATGAGAGAAGGAAACAATATGGCAGAGAACACCTGTGGCATGATCGTCGTTATAGCAGCACAGCCATGGTGTGAGGACAGCAGAAGATGTCTGCGACACCCCTCCTCTGGGGCTCAGCTCCATGACTTAGAGGTCAGACTCTGGGGTAAGGGACAAATGGGTTCGAATCCTAATTCTACCACTCCAAGTGAATGTGGACAAATTATTTCCACTCTGCAGACCTCAGTTTCCTAATTTGTAGAAGAGAGATAGGGGCGCCTGGGGGGCTCAGTCGGTTAAGCATCCGACTTTGGCTGAGGTCATGATCTCACGGTTTGTGGGTTCGAGCCCCTCATTGGGCTCTGTGCTGACAGCTCAGCTCAGAGACTGGGGCCTGTTTCAGATTCCGTGTCTCCCTCTCTCTCTGACCCCCCTGCTGACACTATGTCTCTCTCTCTCAGAAATAAATAAAACATTTTAAAAAATTAAAGAAGAGAGATAAGGATGGTACCTAGACTTCACTGGATGAGTGTGAGGATAATCCATGCAAAATATTTGAGAGGGGTGCTTAGCATACTTTTAGAAGACGTTCAGTATATACGTGAGTACACAGATGATACTTTTAGTATATGCTTTTAGTGACAGTATCAACCGCATGAAATACATACTATTAAGCAAATGACATTCTATTTGAGCTGCCAACTTCCGCTGGCTCAGATGTTCTGAAACATGATACAGGGGAAGTCGTACAGGTTGAGCATGGCAGCCTGGGCGCTTACCGCAAGGATGGCAATGACAATCCCCACAGCGCAGAGCACAGCATCATTTATGGTCTCGCCAGTTTTCACAGGATACTTGATGCTCTCATCATTGCAGTAAAACCCTCGGTGGTAAGGCTTGATGGTGCTTGTCTCGATGATGAGGAAGGGCAGGCCCGCTGGTCCAGAAGGAACCATCACACGCACCAGAAAATAAAAAAAAGAGAGAGGAGAGAAAGGGAAAACATCAATGAAAGGAGGCCAAAGAACGACCTACAGCAAAGACCACCCCAAACAGCACCACTGACAGGGCCAGGCCTTCCGTGCACGTGCAGCTATGTACAGTCCCCAGAGAGCGATCGGCACCTGCAGACCCTTTCCTTCCTGGTCACGCCCAGGAAGTGCCAGGAAGAGCAGAGCATTAACCTCATCTTGTCCAAGGGCACAGCGGGAGGCAGGGGAAGAGCCGGGACAGGAGCTTTCCCACCGCGCTACAACACCCTGCTGACATTAAAGGCCGATGAGTGATCATTACCAACAGGGCTTCGAGTCTAGTGATGTGTCCTTCTCCAAGTGCACTGGACATCACCACTCCCCCTTTGAGGAGCCCATCACAAGGCTCTGCGGCTTGGAGCCGGGAAGGCCTTGGGTCACATAAGCTCAATCTCAGGTCCACCGCGTGCTGTCAATGTGACCCCTCGTTGTCATTCCATCTTTCTGAGCCTCAGTGTCCTCACACATGAGTTGTAGGGAATGACAGAAGGGGAACCAAGCACACGCAACTTCTAGCGTAGTGCCTGGCACGTAGTAGCTGCTCGATGGCGCCCTTTTCAACCTTTTTCTTCCACTGAAGAGTCACTATCAAGACTCAGCAGAGCTGAGCAGAGGGCCCCTCGGCCTGTAGCTTTGGAGCGGAGCCCAAGGGCATCTGGGAGCACCAGGCCCCTCCTGCAGCTGCTGCTGGTTTATCAGTGGCCGGCTCAGATGCCATTCTCTTAAAGGTCATGGCAAATGGATTCCATCACCTGCCAGGAAAAGTGCCTCACAACCCTGAAGCAAAAAGCGAAGGCTTACAATGTCCCTTGCCAGGCCACGGCAGCAGCCTCCACATCGGTCTCCTGACCTTCACTGCCTCTCACCCATATCCACCAGTTCACTTCCAGACTGTGAGTACGTCACTGCCTTGTTTAAGTCTCTTCAGTGGCTCGCCATTGCACAGGACGAGATAAAGTCCCTAAGGGTGACCTCTGGAGTTCCCGCGACCTGGACCTCCTTCTCCTGACTCATGGTCTGCTAGCCCACCTGACACAGCCTCAAAGAAAACAGGACACAGAGACTCTGTCTCAGTTCACGCTCTTCTCGGAGACTGGAAGACCACTTCCCCTACTGCCCACGTTCAACACCAAGCTGCAGTGCCACTTCACTAAGTAAAAGGTGAGCCACTGAATGTGAGGACCAGGGAAGACCAAGAAAAACACCCCGTTAACAGCCACCACCAATGTTAACAGCCATCAACAACGTGTAAGCTATTCATTCATTTTTGCAATGGATCCTCCAACAACCTCAAGACGTCATTTTAAACCATCGCTTAAGCATATGTCATTCATCTTCAAGAAGAGAACAGAGACGACGAGAGAAATGTTTAGCTCATTCAGGGTCTCTTAGTCTACCCCCAAATGCCTGAATCCCTAATTTAACTTTGCAAATTGGTTTCATCCAACTGTGAATTTCATTAGCTGAAAAAGCCCAAGATAAGCGGTGGTTTAAAAGATAAAATTCCATTTTCATGTTTTTCAAAACAAATTAAATTCACGTCACGTTGCTCGAAGCCCCAGACCGCCTCTTACAAAAAAAAAAAAAAAAATGTACCATGAACTCCACAATTTTTCAATTACTTTGGTCCAGACCAGCAGCGATAAAAAAGCTCACTTTCTAAAAAGTGTATTTATGTATCACTGTGCATACACACATGGATTTATTTGGTTTTATTCTTTGGATTTATTTGAATTCTACGGCTATTTATTTTGTGACCCCTAACTGCTTCCTGCTAGAACAACAATTTACTTTATCAAATTCATACTAGTGCTTTGAAAAGAAAGAAACGGCAACACACCACAGCATTGTGCCTGATCTTCTCAAAGTAAACACAGAGGGGCTCTGGAAGGCAATAACCATTAGCTCTTGAGACCGTGTCTCTGCAAGGGAGTGAAGCAGGAGAGGCGAGGCAGTGAGGAAATGCTGGGGCCAGGAAAGGGCAAGAATCGTCAGCTGATCTTTGGGGGTGGGGCGCTAGAAGAGAAAAAAATATCCTATGGGCCCAAACCGTCTTCATTCTACTGCCTCAACATCTTGAAATGTGGCCAAGTTGGCTATGAAAAGTAGCCAAGAAGCCAGCAGTATGATATTAATAGTCCACTTTAAAGCTCCACACATCGTGATAAAAACCTTGAGCTCCACGTCTGAGCCGGGCCGCAGCCTCTGTGGTGCCTGGGAGCCAGAGCGTTGCTAATAAACTCAGGAAGGGAACAGACCCCGGTGCCTTACATTTGGGCTATGCTCTTAGGCCCCGGCTTCTATTTTTAATGGTGTTCACATGATAGGCCTGTAAAACATATGTTTCTAAGGACAATAAAACACATATAAAAGAGCTGTGGAGTTAGACAGAACTGGGTTAATGACCTTGACTCTGCTCCCTGCTACTTGAGCAAGTTGTTTCACATCTCCAGAATGCTCTTCTCATCTCTGCAATGGGAAGAGTGAGGTTTAGCTTGGGGATTGCTGGGATGATGTCATCCACTACATGAACCCATTCATTTATTCGACAAATACTGATTCAGTCTTCACTATGTACACCAAGTACAAAGACGGCATGAACCCTGCCTTCCGGGAGCTTACAATCTACTAGGGGAAGACGTCATGGAATAAAATCCGTACAGAAAGTGGCTTTAGTTAAAGGAAACCAGGCAAAAGTACTGGGTCATGTCAGCTCCGGGTCTGACGCACACTATGCACACTCAATAAATGTTAAAAGGACAAAGCGGTGGGGGATAGGGGGGGACGATCCCACAGAGAAAGTTAGTAAAGAAAATCTGTTCATTCTGTTCCTTTGCCCTCTCTTAATCTGGGAGCCATCCAAATCCTTTCTCTTCCTCCTTTGCCTAAGGCTTGGGAAGTTTCCGATTATGATTATGCAGATGATGTCCACAAACAAACAAGAAGTTGGATCTGAATGTGTTCTGTTTATTTTCTTGAAAGGCATGGAGATAGCATTTAGAAAACCCAATGGCTTTTTCTGTCTCTCCTACAAATCTGTGGTATGATTGGGGGAAGTCTTGACTTTGCTCCAGAAGACAGTAACCTCAGATTACCTTTAGTTGATGGGAAAAGCATAGACATTTTCTCCAATGGGGCAGCTGGTCCTCAAGGGACACAGCACCTTGCCTCCCTTGCCTCTCCAGGACCCAGGGAAGAGGCTGTTCTTTTCCATAGAGGTATCTCCATTTCCAGCACTGGCGCCATCTTTATGACCAACCACAATAGTCCCCGATCAGTTCTTAAAAAAGAAAAATTCCCAGTGCTAGAGACTAGAAATCTAGAGGTGAATGTGTCATAGCACCTGCCCTCAAGAGGCTCATGGTATTTTAAGAAAGTTGCAAAACCAAGTGCACTCAAATATTTCTAAATGGGAAGACTGACATATGTATAGAGTATAAAGACACTAAAGATGGCCCACAGAGGATGGGAGGCTTGAAGGAACCCTTATTGAGTAGGAGGTTTCTGGAGTCCAGGGACTGAGTATGCTCAAGAAACTCAATGTAGTTTAGGGATTTCAATAAGGCAGTCATTATAAATGATGGCCATTATGAGAGCATGACTTTAGATTTGGCTACAGAGCTGGAAGAGACACACGGTAGACAATGAAAGGAAGAAAGGGAAAGTCAGCCCAGACAATAACAATAGTAGCTAACATTTACTGAACAACTACTTTGTACCTGAACTGTGCTGAGGAACCCCACACAAATGACTGTCATCTGGAAAATCTGGATGCCTATTATGTTCTCAGCACTGACTGGGACACTTAAGTCCCAACCTTCAAGTGGCCCAAAGGCTAATGGGAGAAACAGTCATAAAAACGAACACGTTTAGTCACCCGAAGGTTCAAAGGGATTAAAGTGACTTATCAGAGACTCTCGGACTTTCGAGTGCTTTCTAAAGTAAGCGAGTCACTTGAAACAGAGAAGGAAGCCCTGAGGAGTATTGATCAATTAAAGTTCAGCAAATTTCATGGCCTTTGAAGAATAAGATGTTTTATACTGAACAGTCAAGGCAATAGTGCAGGCAATTACTCACTGAACATTCACCACATACACATCTGTGCTGAGTATCTAATTTAACCAACACTCCGAAGCCAATATCCTGGAGTTCAGATTTATCTATAATGCAAGGTACATTACAAGCTTTTTGCAAAGCAGAAATAAGAAGTGTGTGTGTGTGTATACATACCATCTGGTGATTCTATAACCCAATTCAAAGCCCTTCTCTTTCTTTTAATCAAGGATCAATTAACTTCCTATACCTCCAGGGACCTCTCGGGATATGTAGGCTGCAGAGAAGGCGAAATACGAACTCACTGACAAACACTTAATGGGCAGAAAATCAAAGCATGAAGAAAGGCCCCTGTGTTGGGTTCGGGCCTTTGAAACTTCTTGGGCTTTGAAAAACTAACACTTGAGCAGGTTGGGTGGTTTGGGGGTGGGGTGTAAAAAAACACAGGATAAGTTTTTGTGGCCCACCCATTGATAAAGTCATGTGGGAAGTGTTACCAAACTGACCCAGCCCCGGAGCCCTGCTCCCTCCAGCCACAGTTTCACGTTGGCACAAAATTAAACACAGCCTCCTGCTCTCAAAGTGCTTTTTTAGAAAGGGAAGGAGTGGGGGTGGGAGAGTGAATAAGAAATCTTTACACTTGGGCAGGCCTCACAGCACGACCCAACTCCAAGCATCAGGGAGGGGCTGCTCGTGACTCCCAGATACCAAGTCCTTTGAGTGCCTTGCCCAGAGTTGTCCAACTTGCCACTTCATCTGATCTGTGGCTACCTTAAAATAAGCAAAGTCCAGGATCTATGAAAGTAATAATTAAACTAATAGCTGCAGAAAGCCTACGCTCCTACCCAAAGAA